CGGCCTCTCAGGGCCTCGCTGGCCCCCGCGGGTTCCTCCGGGTCCTCGGCGGCTGCGGCCACTCCTCCTGGTCTGAGCTCCTCGGGCAGGACCGGAGGGGAGCGGGCTTGGGCGGGGCCGGGTCCGCCCGCGCGCCCCGGTAGCGAGCGTGCGCAGCGGCCTGAGGCTGGTTTGGGTGATTTCTCCCAAAGGTGGCGTCCTTCACTAGAGGCAGATGCTCACAGCCTTTAGGTACTTTCCTGCCCACCTCCTTCTGCTGTGCTTATTTTTATGTCATTATTTTGAAATGGAAATAACTTCTTTAGAAACTAAGTGGCAAGCAATGGGTGAAAGCACAACCTAAGTGAGTGCGGTTTAAGGCGAACTGCGGAACGCGCGAGCTCCGCCGGGGATGCGCACAAATCGCGCGGCCGAGGGCTCGAACCCCGCCACACGCGCGGACCCGGCTTCTGGAAACACGGATCGTCTGGTCAGGTGCCCAAATGAGGTCATTGGTCAGATACCTGATGCTCCGAGAAAGATGGAGGGGAAAATCCATCCTGGCAACCGACCGCGACTGCTCTGGGCGTGCCAGTAGCGGGGGTGGGATTATTGTTCATGTAATAGGTGATGCACAGGCAAAAAGCTATTATAAACCATAGGTCGCTGTGAGATGGCCTGTTGGGAAGGTAACGTTTATCCATGGTTTTAAGTATTTATGTATTGACTTATTTGGTTCTGACTCAGGCAACGTACGGTAAGGTGATACTACTTTAATCATCTTCACATGAATATTTATGAAGTAGCCACAAGTGCCTCATCCTTTACTAGGACTTAATTATACTTTGTTGGCCAAATAATCATCGACTGGTATGTATGTATTGTTATAGGACATATTTTAATCGCTTTGTATTTGTTGTCTGTGCCTACCATACCCAGTAGTCTTTGAAATTTCTGTATTTATTTAATAGTGCAAAATTGTACATCTAGCCATTGAAACAGTTATGTGCAAGACATTGTTCTAATTACAAGTAATTAGACAAATCATTATCATTTCAGAGTTAAATGAGTGCTCAGAGATCAGCCAGTACAAAGTGCAAACACTGCAAATGCCTGGTGGAAAAACTAGGAAGCCACAATTTTTATTACAAATACTTATTCTAAAACAATAAAATTAATATTCTCTAACAACAACAGATAAGGCGTGTGAAAGACTTTTAAATATGTCTAACTGTAAAGACATCCTCATGCGTACTGGCTTTTGCAATTTAATAATATCTTTACTACCTCCTTGCATTTTGTTAATTTTTCATTCATCTCTTAAGTTTTGCCTTTTCTTTGAAGTCAAACTTTTCAAACTTCTTCTTCGATCCAATATTCACCATTAAAAGTTAGTCGCCTTCTATGTTACTCATTATTATCATTGTTGTTATTAGTAGTATTTTGCCATTTGACAGTGTCATTTGCAAATAACACTGTATATTTTTTTAATTTTTTGTTGATTTAGTTTAGTCTTTGTCATAAAATTTTTTAATCTAAAGTACCACAATACATATATTTACAATAGCAACATTAACCACTGCTAACGTTGTGTCATATTTTTTTCAAGTATTTTTTAAATAAAGAAATAAAACATTTCCAATAAAGCTAAAGTGGTTTTTTTTCTACCATTACCATTCTCTCCCTGTCCACCTGATATTGCTTAATTCATATTTTTCTTTCTATTTTGCTTGAGCAGTCTTGCTGGAAGCTTATCATTTTGGTGATTTTTTCAAATGAACCAACTTTTGATTGTTGATTTTCTCACTTATTTTTTACTTCATTTCTTTGGGTCTAATTTGTTCTTTTTCAAACTTAAGGTAGAAGCAAAAATAATTGATTTTATACCTTTTTTCCTTTCATATAGGCATTTTAAAACTATTTTTCCTCTAAGCATGCTTTAGCTGCATCCCACAAATTTGGGTGTTTTCATTACCATTTAGTTTAAAATATTTTAAAACAGCTCTGATTTCTTTGATCTATTATTTTCATTTTATTTATTTTATTTTATTTATTTTATCTTTTATTTTATTGTATCCTCCCCTGAGGATATTTTTTCCATTGCTTTCCAGAGGTGGTGGGAGGGAGTGAGGGAGAGAAAGAGAGAGTGAAGGGAGAGAAACATCAATGTGAGAGAGACACATGGATTGGTTGCCTCCTGCAGGTACATGCCCTTGGTTGGAATCAAATCGAACCCAGGACCCTTCAGTTCACTGTCCAACTCTCTAACCACTGAGCCAAACCGGCTAGGGCTGTCCATTATTTAGATGTGTTATTTTATTTCCAGATATTGGGGGATTTTCTAGATAGATCATTATTGATTTCTAAATTAGTGATGTGGTCAAAGAACATACTCTGCATTATTTCAATACCTTTACATTTATTGATTTTAGAGAGGACAGGAGAGAGAGAGGTTGATTTGTTATGCCACTTATTTATACATTCATTGGTTGATTCTTGCATGTTCCCTGACTGCGATCCAACCCACAACCTTGGTGTATCAGGACGATGCTCTAACCAATTCAGCTACCCAGCCAGGGCCTCCAGTCAATTTTTAATTGTAGTTATTGAACTTTGCAACTGGAGACTTTCACTTGTTTTAATATTTTCTCTACTCATTTATTGTGCACATATTCTACTTAAGTCTTTTCATGTTTGTAATAGCTGCTTCAAAGAACTTTTCTGATAGTTACAATATTTGGGAAGTCTTCATAATCTGTTTTTATTGACTGCTTTTTTTTTTTTTTCTGGAGCATGAGCCACATTGTCCTATTTCTTTATATGTCTAGTGTTTTTTGATTGGATATTTGAAATTTTAAAGGATGAATTTTAGAGACGCTGGATTCTGTTTTGCTTTCCTAAAGAATAATTTTTATTTTAAAGGCAATTAACTAGGTTGAACTAAATCTCCAGCCTGTGTCTCCTCTGTAGTGGTAGCAGCTGAAATCTTTACTGAGTTACTTCAGTTTCCAGGAGCTGATTTTCTGCCAGGCCCCCCAGGGGTCCCCTCCCTCACCTCATGATTAGCACAAGTCTTGGGAGGACTATGTATATAGATTTTTGGGATCAATCACCTCCTCTTTGGCTGCCTCCCTCCCAGAATATTTTTCCTAAATTTCTGGTAGTTCTCTAGCCTGAACTCTATCATCTGATATCTCAAGCCGGTATGATTTGGCTTCCTGCTCAACCTACCCCCAGTGGCAAGCAGATTTAGCACTGCCCTCAGTCAAAAAACAAACAAACCACAAATGTGCAAATCTCACCTTTTGCAGATTTACTCACTCAGCCAATGTCCTCCCCTTGCCAGGGACTGTGTGCGCTCTGCAGGTGGGATAGCTTCCAGAGAGGAAAAGGAAGACTCAGTGTATTGCTCTCAAATCCAGTCAGATAAGTTACTCTTTCTCCCCCCTGAAGGGGATACTGAGGTAGTGGAAAGAGGCCAGGAGAGGGCTGTTTGAGCTGCATCAGCCTGGAAGTGGGGGTAAGGAATAGATGTTCTCTTCTGATACTCCCTGGATTTTGACTCCCTGCAGTCAACTTAGTAGAAGAGATCAGTAGTTTGTCATCAGTGAGACTGACGCTCATGCTAATAACAATCTGGGGTTGGGGGAACTAGTCAAAAGCAAGTCAAGAGCAACCAAAAGCAGAGAGAAATGGGAGGGGAAAGATGAAATGCAAGTTTTCCCTCAAGACTGTGTCAAAGCAGTATAAAGCTTTTTGTTCTGTATCAGGCTGTCTAATGCATTATAACAGCATAATACTGTTTATTGTTTTAGATGGATCCCAAATAGCATATAGTTAGACATCATTTTTTTGTTTTCTATGATTTAAGGTTCTTTGTGGTTAAGAGGAAGTTTGCATTTATCATACAAAATAGTATAATTCTTCTTATTCCATCACCTTAGTTTATACTGTTGTTTTTTAATGTCGACTTACTTATGTTTTTCCCCTCCCTGCATTTGCTAGTTTTTCTTGTTTTGCCCCTAGTAATTTATAAATTAGACATCCTCTTTTTATTTAATTAGTAATTGCTTTAAAATAAAGTGAGCCTCTTTCTTCACCAACATTAAGAATTTGTTAGTATCTATTGATTCCTTTGGAAATGATGACTGCGTCACATACTTTAATACCTCCCTTTGTTCCTACCTCCCACCATTTGTTAGAATAATTTGGGTTTTTAAAACCATTATTTCTTTTTTTACTTCTCCTTAAGCAGCACTTTTCACATTTGCCTTTCTTATGTAGTCATGGTAACCATGTTAAGAATAATCACTTTGACATTAATTTTTAATCTTATAGGTTATAGTTCCCAGCTCTATTTGTTTTATAACAGATCTTCCCTATATCTAAGATCTTTATTTTTCAGATACTAAAGTATTCCTTTGAATGATTTTTAAAGAAGAGTATGTATCTGAATCTTTGCATATCTCAGAATATTTATTAAATGTGTATTCTTCTGACATAGCAGTTATAACCATAGGGAAGTTTCCTAAGGAAATGAGAGTGGTATGCAAAGATGTGTGCACAAGTTCATTTTGCAGTATTATTACAAAAAGGAAATATTAGAAACTAATAAATGTCTACAAAGAGAAATTGGTCAGATAAAGTAGAATTACTTCCAGCCATTATTACAAAATCATAACAGTTTTATTACCTTATTCATGTAACTCAAATTAAGTATCATTAACCCTTTTACCTGTTACTTGCACAAGTTAACATTATTTAGATCCTACAAAGCAACCATTAGCGTAGCTATTAATATTCTATTTAGCATCTTTTTTTAGTTTTTTAAATTAGATTAACTATTGGCTAAACAAATAATTATTATTGAACATATTTTTTAAAGACCTTTAATTTTAGGGCAGGAGCAGGGCAGAGGGGGGTCAATGGGGGGAAAAGGGGGAATATCTGTAATGCTTTTGACAATAAAGATAAATAAAAAGAATAAAAAAATAAAGACTTAATTTTAGTCTTTTCCTTGTAGTGACTACATGGATTCCTTTGGGCAACCTAGAACAGAAGATGACCAGTCAGTAGTCAGCAGAATGCAAAAGAAATACTGGAAAACGAAGCAGGTGTTTCTCAAGGCCACGGGCAAAAGGGAGGATGAGCACGTGGTGGCGTCTGACGCAGACCTGGATGCGAAGCTTGAGGTGAATCCGAGGCGTCCGTGTTGCATATAACTGGTGGTTGTGGGACTACAAGGGGGACTGCAAGCTTTCACATGAAGAACTTACTGGGATAAGTGCAAATCTGATAACACAATGTTTAATTGTGTCCATCTGTTAGCTCTTCTGGATAGGTGGTCACAATTTTCACAAATTGAGACTTAACAGAATTAGTGTTCACAAATTAGGTAAATCATGAATTAAGTCATTTCTCTTGCATAAGTAGTATAGTTTTTAGGCTAAATGTTAATGAATTCATTATATCTTTAATAGAGACCACATACTCATATATCATGTCATAATAGTTTTACTACATTTATGGTAAGTCTTACACCTCACTGAAATAAACTAATTGAAATCAGATAGTGAGAATTTTATGTTAGAATTTTTGTTTCAATTACTAAGGGAAAGAGTTATTAAAGTATTTAATAGTACATTTTTTCGCTGTTTTTTATTTTAAATAAAAGGAATAATTACTATGAAACAACTTTAAACTTATAAGTAATTAAGATAATTAGAGGAAAAGTCTCATGTATATTAATGAAAGGCCTGGATTTTTAAATGCAGATTTACCAATCCCATGAACATATACAAATTTAAGATAACTTGTACAAAGATTTCCAAGCAGATGCTCTATTACGCTTGAAATGATTTGTTGGGAGTCTTAAAAATAAAGGTCTAATTAAATAGAACTTAATTTACTAAGTATTTTCATTCTTAGTAAATAAGTCAACTATGCCATTGCCATAACAGATATGGAAATGGATAACAAATTAACAAGCTTTTACTATTTGTTTTGAAAAATATTTCTCTTAGGATTCAATGTCAAATGTGGGGAGGGGATGGGGAAAGGGACTTTATTATAAGTATTATATGTTTTAACACTACGGGAACGCTTCACTGTTTTCACCCATATTCCCTAGAGGTAGATTTTTTGTATTGTTTTACATCATTAGGTAATCTATGGGTGATATATTTTATATTTTAGTAGTATTCTTGTTCATAAGATAAATATTTGGAATCAACCAAGAACTTTCTTCCACATTTATACTATTTTTTTTAAGAATGAGAAATATTATTTTTTGTATACTTATATCAATAATTATGTTGTATACTTTATGTTATAATTTTATTTGTGAAATTACACCTCACTGAAACTGAAAAAAAATATTTTCATTGTAAAAATAAAAAGCAATAGTATATAAATCTTTCAAGGACCCCTGGGGGAAAAAATCAACCGTAATCCCTTCATCATAGTACAACTATCATTTTTGTATTCTTTTTAGTCTTGTTCCATGTGAATTTAAAACAGCCTTTTAAGTTGCCAAATCCATATACCAAATGCAATTCAAACATACCTACACTTACATGAAAAAATGATGGTTGCTTTCCATTTAGATTTTAGTGTCTGTTATCAATCTTCCTTAGTTCTGATCAAACATCAAAATAATAGCAAAACCTCTCCAGAGATAGGATGATCAGGCTTAATGGTGATATTGGAAATTTATTTGATAATCAAAGGATTATGGCCTAATATATCACAGTGCCAAGTTCTTTTTGCTAGTTTCACAGCAATTATTCAGCATAGGAGTTTGTTAGAAGAAGGCTGTACCCTAAAACCTGTGCCAGCGATTTATATGTATGAAGAGTGACCTCATGTGTATGGGTCCTACTCTCAAATTTTCATGTGCTTACTTTCAAATGGGAGTGTACTGGATCATTTACTTTTCTGTTAGCTATTAGCAATCATAGTAATAAAGGGATTACATGGAAAATTCTAAACAAAAATAATTTACAAGTAATTTATTTTAATGTTGTAATATACATTATTTAATTTTTATGGTAAATTCACTGACCTCTTTTGCTTAGACCAGTATTGGAGAAAACCCAGAGTCCAAGTTAACACTTTTGAAGGTTATTTACACTCTTTCATCTGTGGTTGGCGATCCTTGATGCAGTTTTCATTGGACTTACCTTTCTGCTGTTTAGATAGTTCAGAGCTGAGGGAGGACACACTCCCCGTTACAGATTTTTATCACTCCCAGGTATTTATCACATTTTCCCGTGCATCATGAGGGAACTCTGAATGTGCTTTCTACATCAGAAATAAAACCAAACTGCAGTACACCACAGTCCAGGAAAACAGGCATAATACTTACAAGAAAACGTTCTGCTTCTGAAAGAGTACTTACAACAGATATTTTGTATTTGTTTATGGTTCTCTAAATTGTTCTAATAAAATTTATATTTCAAAGGTTTTTCACACTATTCAAGAGACATGCACTGAACTTCTGAAGATAGTTGAGAAATACCAGCTAAGACTCAATGGTATGAAATCATAGATATATATCCCATAATTCCAATGTAATATAAACATTTATTTGAATGAAATGTTTAATGTAAAAATATTTTATTGAACTGTTTTATGAATTGTTTCTTATGACAACATATAAATATTTACAGTGTCCTGTGACACAGAATCATTTTGCTGAACTCAGTTTTCCTGCCCAGAGAATTAAGTGGATTTGCTTCCATCATTTATAAACTCTCTCTCTTGACCGCCCCCCAACTCTTGCCCTTGCAGTTACCATGCCGTTCCTCTGCTCCGTTAATAGAAAATTTGGACAATTATAATTGTCTGTATGCACAGTTTCTTTATTCCTGTCCTACTTTCTCTTGTACTCACTCCAGTTACATTTTCATCCCCACCACTCCACCAAATTGCTCTTATCATAATAACAAAGAGCTAAACCCAGTGACCAATTCTCAGCCCTTCACTTACTGGACTTACCACATGACTGAACGCAGTGATTATTTCCTCCTCCTGGGTACGCTCTCTCCACCTGGTTTCCAGGCACCATACTTCCCTGGGTTTCCTCCTACTGGTCATTCCTCCTCCTGCCTTTGCTGGATTCTTCTCTCTTCTTGCCGTCTTCCAGTTGGAACTAAATCTTTGGACCTCTTTTCTTGCTTCAGTTGCAGTGGCCTACTGGACGTGGCCACCGCTCGGATCCTGGTTACCGCCCTGACCTCATTTCCTAAAACTCCTCTTCAGCCACATTGATCTGCACAGTAGCCATATCTGCATAGCAGGCTCCCTGACTTCCTTTAGAGATTTGGTCAAATGTCATTTTTTCAGTCATTTTTTAAAGAAGATGAAAATTATAAGCACACCTTCCAGAATAAGCAGATATGTAATCCTTAGTGAAGTTAGTAAAAGTTTCTAAACCGTTTCTCAGTTTTGGTACTTACCACAGGCTGGTAACAAATGGTTCTGGACTGACATTGGTTCGTGGACCACACTTTGAGTAGTAAGGTACTGCACAACTTTTAGGATTTCAGCAGCAAAATTGTGGACATCTGTGGGTCTGTGGTACTGAGCATAAGAAACTGAAGCCAGGATGGGAGTCAAGAATAAGTTAAATTTAAATAGGAAACAAATGTTTGTAAGAGGCAAATCCTAAAATGCACCTCTGCACATTTGAAAATGCATCATTTGTGGGTTTGTTTTATTTTGTGGGATTTTTTATTCTTATGTTTTACTACAGTCTTTCCCAAAATGAGTTCCATGCATTCACTGCATCAAAACCATCTGGCCCTGGGCGGTGGGCTCAGCTGGTTGAGTGTTATCTCGTGCACCGAAAGGTCGCCAGTTTGATTCCCAGTCAGGGCACATAGCCAGGTTGCAAGTCTGATCCCTGGTCTGGGCATGTGCAGGAGGCAGCTGATTAATGTTTCTCTCTCTCCCTCTCTCCCTTCTTCTCTCTCTAAAATCAATACAAACATTTTAAAAGACACATCTGGAGTGCTTGTTTAAAAAAAAAAAAAAGAAAGAAAGCAGATCCTCAGACCTATAAAATCAGAACCTCTGGAAATGGAGCCCAGGAATTGCATTTTTAAATGTCTTCTCCCCCCCCCCC